GATGCGCAAGGGCCAGCAAGATGGCACGGGAGGTTCCCATGAGTTGCTTCCGAAGGCGGAGCGGCAGAAAGAAGGTTGAGGGAGGACCGGCCAGCTCAGAGTAGGAACAGGCACCGACAGCGTTGCCCTTTCCTCGTTTTCGCTTATTTGGGGCATGGGCGGCATCGTCGTTACGGCTGGACTCGCCTCGAAATCCTGATCAGAGCGCAGCCGGGAGCGGTCAGGAAAGTAGCGGTATTGGTATCGTTGGTTTGCATCGGGCCATTGGTCGAAGTTGCATTCCATACCGACGCACATCAGCACACAGCACGATGTGTACGATTTGCAGTGCGCGCACACATGTACGCGTGCCCCCCAGGTGTGTGTGTGTGTGTGTGTGTGCGTGTGGTGTGTGTGTGTGCGCGCGTGCGCGTGCGCGTGCGCGTGCGCGTGCGCGTGCGCGTGCGCGTGCGCGTGCGCGTGCGCGTGCGCGTGTGCGTGTGCGTGTGCGTGTGCGTGTGCGTGTGCGTGTGCGTGTGCGTGTGCGTGTGCGTGTGCGTGTGCGTGTGCGTGTGCGTGTGCGTGTGCGTGTGCGTGTGCGTGTGTGTGTGTGTGTGCGTGTGTGTGTGTGTGTGTGTGTGTGTGCGTGTGTGCGTGTGTGTGTGCGCGTGTGTGTGTGCGTTCGAGGAGGAGGAGGAGGAGGAGGAGGAGGAAGAGGAGGAAGAGGATTTCAATCGTACGAAGCTGCGTAGGGCAACCCATGCGGCGCCTGCAGCGCCGCCCTTGGCGCGCTCCGCGCGCCCAGGAAGGGGGGTCCAGCGCCGACCAAAGAAATTCGCGCGAACCTTCGAAAGCCTATGCGTATATTGTTTTGCTCACTCTCCTAGAAGGAGGAGCCTCCTCCCTCCTCCTCCTCCCTCGTCCTCCTCCTCCTCCTCCTCCTCCCTCCTCCTCCCTCCTCCTCCCTCCTCCCTCCTCCTTCGTCCTCCTCCTGCCCCCTCCCCTCCTCATCCCTTCCTCCTCCTCTTCCTCCTCCTCCTCCCCTCCTCCCTCCTACCTCCTCCTCCTCCTCTCCTCCTCCTCCTCCTCCTCCTCCTCCTCCTCCTCCTCCTCCTCCTCCTCCTCCTCCTCCTCCTGCTCTCTCCTCCTTCTGCCCCCTCCCCTGCCCATTCGCCCAGAGGGGAAGGGGGCAGGAAGCTCCACGCGCCAAACGAGGCCCCCGCGGGGACAGCTCGCGGCGGCGTCCCGTGCGGCCCCTCCTGTGGCCTGGAGGCCCGGGTGCAGCGGACGGCCACGCATGGCCCTGGCGGGGAGAATGACTGCTCGCCCCTCCTCTCCTCCCCTCCTCCTCCTCCTCCTCCACTCCTCCACTCCTCTCCCTCCTCTCCTCCTCTCCTCCGTCTATCCATTCCTCCACTCCTTCACTCCTCCACTCCTCACCCTCCCTCTCTCCTCCTCCCTCCTCCTCCTCCTCCTCCTCCTCCTCCTGCTCCTCCTCCTCTCCTCCGCCTCCTCCTTCTTCCTCCTCCTTCTCCTCCTCCTCCTCCTCCTCCTCCTCCTCCTCCTCCTCCTCCTCCTCCTCCTCCTCCTCCTCCTCCTCCTCCTCCTCCTCCTCCTCCTCCTCCTCCTCCTCCCCCTCAGCAGGTCTTCTGCGCCATCGTCTTCGGCTACGCTTCCTTCAACTCGGCCCAGGCCAAGTGGGGCGACGGCTTCCAAGGCACCGGGGGCGGACGAGGGGGGGGGCAGGACGAGGGAGGGGGGGGGGGAGGGGGACGAGAGCGGAGCGCGGCCGAGGGGCTCTTGCTGTCACGGGGCTCTCCCGTCTTGGCCGCTGTGATTCTTTGGTTTGGAGCCCCCCCCGGTGCAGTGCCCTCCTTGCCCTGTCCGCCGGCGTGCCCCTCCCCGCTCGGCCTGCCTGCGGCTGCCCCGCCCGTGAGTGGCCTGCCCGCCTGGCCGCCCGCCCGGTTGGCGGTCGGGCCCGCCCGGCCCGACCGCGTCGTGCGCCGCCCGCCCGGCGCGCCTTTGTGGTCAACCCGCATCGCAAGGATGGGCAGCCCTTCCGAGGGCACCCTTCCCAGAGGTCCAACGCATTGAAAAAATCAAGACGGAGGTTTCTCCCATTTTTCGGCCTCTGGGGGCCCTCGCCGGGCCCCATCACCGTGAAAAAGCGGCTCAGGATGAAAAACCGGTCCTGGGGAATGGGTCGAGTCGTTTGGGGACCGCGCATCGACAAAAATCACGACGTCGGATCCCTGGGTTGCACCTTGGCTCTTTCGGCCCATCCTTGGCGGCTCTCGCTGGCCAACCTCGTTAGAGAAACGCGGGCGTGGCACTCCCAGGCCCTCGCATCCTCACCGCGCGTCCTTGTGATGCGGGTCGACTGCATTGCCCGCCCGTGCGCGCGCTTGGAACTCCGCCCGCCCGTCAGGGCTTGCTCGCCGCGACCGCCCGTATTGCATGTTGAGCGACACGCGAGCACTGAAGAGCGATCATTGTACAATGGTTGTTGTGGTTGTTTGGGGCTGGGTATGTTATTTGTTTGTGGGTGGTTCTGTGCGCCATGTGGGTGTGGGTGTGTGTATGTGTGTATTGTGTCTGTGTGCGGCGTGTATGTGTGCGTGTTTTGTGTGCTGAGTGTGTGTGTGTGTGTGTGGTGTGTGCGTATGTTTGTGCGTGTGCGTGTGTGTGCGCGTGCGTGCGTGCGTGCGTGCGTGCGTGCGTGCGTGCGTGCGTGCGTGCGTGCGTGCGTGCGTGCGTGCGTGCGGGGGTGCGTGCGTGCGTGCGTGCGTGCGTGCGTGCGTGCGTGCGTGCGTGCGTGCGTGCGTGCGTGTGTGTGTGTGTGTATGTGCGTTTGTGTGTGCGTGCGTGCGTGCGTGCGTGCGTGCGTGCGTGTGTGTGTTTGTGTGTGCGTGTGTCTGCGTGCGTGCATGTGTGTGCAGTTGTGTGTGTGTGTTTGCGTGTGTGTGTGCGGTTGTGTGCGTGTGTATGTGTGATCGTATTAGTATCTTGTATGTGTGGTTTTGCCCTGGAGGGAGGTTCGCCTGCAGCCGCAGCGCGGCATCGAGGCCTCCAGCGGCCAAAGCCCTTCGGCTCTAGCCTCAGGCTCAGCCCGTCTGCACTCCCGAGCCCGTTCGACCGCCGAACCCAGGCGTAACCGAACGGTGCAGGTGAGCAATTGTTGGGCCAGGTCCAGCACGGGGACCGGCACCCCGTGTCGGTAGGCCGACGCGGTCCCTGGACCCATCAGCACAAGGACCCCCAGGGTCAAGACAAGAAACACCACCCGGACCGGACAATTGGCGTTTACTGAACGGCCTTGGGCGTCTACTAAACAGCCTTGCCCTGCCTGATTCCCTCTTTGCTCTAGTATCGAGACGTTTGAAATTGGTCTGTTACGAGCTATAACACGATTCGCACTCTGCACTTTTTTGGTGAGAGGTGATGCTTATTTTCTGTACTTCATTCGAGCTGTAGGCTAGCTACGGAGCTGCGATGACAGGAAGTGTTGAGACGTGCTATAGTCTAAAGCATTTCGACGGCCGAGATCGGCCTGCTGGCGCGTTTGCCAAACGGCTTCGCGAGTCGGGGTGGTGATCATCGGGGTGGATGGTCTGCCTTCCGCAGGGGGGCCGCCGCTGGCGGGCCCCGACGCAGGCCCAGCTGCCGATGAGGACCCCCACAACATCGGGGGTGGACAGACCTCCTACCCTGACACGTCGATTAGCAAATTGGCCGTTTTCGGTTCGCGAGAGGGCGTCGCGGCCGTCATTTTTGCGGGTCCAGGTCCGTCGGTTTCGGTCCCAGGCCCTTTTCAATAAAGGGTGGTTTACTAAAGGGAGGTTTGTCCCCCAGGCGGCACAGCACTGGGCTCCATCAGTTCCCCCTGCAGGCCTCTAGAACGCAGACAGCCTACCTAGGGTTAAGTCGGGCACGTCCCTCTGCAGGAGGGAGATCCCAAAACAGTCACAAAATGGTCGGGACACGATGTTGTTGTTTCGCATTCTTGAGCATGTTTTGAACATTTCCAGGGTGTTCTTTTTAATTTTTCGCCCAGAATCCCCCTGCAGGGGGACATGCCCGACCTAAGCCTAGGAGGAGGGTCGGGGGCAGAGGGGTGGAGGAACCTACGGAGGCGAGACCTCTGGGTCCTAAACCCTTGGTGCGCAGGCCCCGAGCAGGCTTCCGCGAGACCTCTTACCCGGGGAGACCCCTTGGCCGACCGAGGCCCCGCAGGCTTTGCGAAGTACCAGCGCTGTCCGACAGGCCCCTCGGCGCCACCCTTGACCACCGAAGGCCCTTGAAGCAGCCACGGCCTCCCAGGAATCTCCCCAAGCTCCACCCACCCCCCCGCATCAGTGGGCACGGGCTCGGGCCTGGGCGGCAGAGGGGCAGGGGCTGCGCGCTTCCGGCCGAGATCCCCACGGGTTTGGAGGGCTGCCTCTAAGGCACGCCGCTTGAGGGGCAGCCGTGTCAGATTCAAGGTCCAGGACAACATCAGGATTGCCAACACCTCGTTGCGTCTTGCTTGTAAACCGAGAAGCAGAAACGCAGGACCGTCCGCGGGGAAGCGGCGGAGACGATGGAACGGGAGGAGTGCGGTGAGTTGCGTTTTTCTTCACGTGTGCGCCTCTTGGGCGGAGGAGAGAGCAAGGAGGAGGGAAGCAAAGAGAAGGCGACGCAGGAGGTGACGGGGAAGAATCGAAGAGGCGGAGGAGGAGAAGTAAGAGGAGCAGGGTGCGGACCCAAGGACCCAGAGGCTGTCCGCTGGGGAGGCGGAGCTGAGAGGAGGGAAAGGGGAATGTGTTTGGTTTGAGCCATGCCCTTGTGTGTGATTGGCGTGGGCGGATGAGGTGGAAGAGAGGAGTGAGGAGGGAGGAGAGGGGAGGAAGGAGGATGGAGGGAAGGAGAAGGAGGAGGAGAAAGAGAACCATCAGGGATTAGGCAGGAGGGAGGGGAGGAGGAAGAGGATGCAGAGGAAGGAGGAGAAGCTGGAGGAAGAGCGTATCGGCGGCCGCCCAGGGATGAAGTTTCAGGTCGCGAAGAACATTCTCACCAAGATGGACCTGAAGGTGCACGCCAAGAACTGGCGCCCGCAGTTGCTCGTCATCACCAAGGCCTCCATCACCGGGGACGCGCAGGTCGAAGAGGAGCTGGTGCAGGTGCACGACCCGGAGCTGCTGAAGTTTGTCTCGCAGCTCAAGGGCGGGCGCGGCTTCGTCATCGTCGGCGGCGTTTGTTGCAGCAGCGAGTTCGAAAATTTCACCGAGGGCGCGGGCATGTTCTCGGGCGTGGAGAAGTTCACAGCTTCCGATGGACAGGTGTTGGCGAAGCCTCTTGGAATCAACATCTTTGGTTCTGCCCACCGCCCTCCGCCTCCTCCTACCCATCCCCTTGCGCACCTTCCCCCTCCATCCATCCCTGCCTGCACTCCTGCTGCCTCCTCCCACTACGACCACCCACTGCTCCACAATGCTCACTCTCCCACTTCACGTGCCCCCCCCTATCCACACCCTTTCCCGCTCCCACCCCCCCACCCCTTCCCCTGGCCCCTCGCCGACCTTCCTCACCTCCACCTCCATCCATCCTTGCCACCTCTTCCAGGTCTCGTCATACTGGCTCCTCCCCCCCTCCCCTCCCCCCCGCTACCTCCTCCCCGCTTGCTTCCTGGGAGAGCCCGCCCCCTCCTCAGATTACCTCCTCACCTTTCACACCGCCTGCCCTCCCCTCCCTGCCCCCGCAGGTCGCTTCCTCTCTATTCCTTCCCATCTCCATGCCCGCCTCCTCCTCCTCCTCCTCCGCCTCCTCGCATGTCCATCCTCTTCCTCCTCCTTGCCCCTGTCCTCCTCCTCCGCTTCCTTCCCGTGCCTCCCTCCCCTTGCCGCTTGCGTTCGCCCCTGCACTCTATTCCCCCCCCCCCCCGCAGCAGGTGGACGCCGCTGCTCACACCCCTTTTATGTGAAGTCATCGCGGCGCCCTCGCTCTGCTCCTGCAACGGGCGGACTTCCTCCGAGCGCAGAGCAGCAGTGCGTGCGTCGGGCGTGCCCCACTACAGGAGGAATACCCAAGAATACTCGAAGAATTGCCTGGGGACGACTGTTCTACCATTCGTTGACCATGTTTGAATCTTGTTGGACTAGGAGGCGGGGGAGGAGGGGGAGGGGGGTACGGCCGACCAGCGTCACTTCCCAGCTACCCTCCCCCGCCCCCCCCCCCCGCCCCCGTCGGATGCACCCCCAAGCGGCGAGTTCCCAGCTTCTGTCTTCATGCTGCTTCTCTCACATATGCTTGAGATTTCGTTCAACGTGCTGGACTGCAGGCTCCCAGGATGATCAGACAAGCAGCCATTTAGATATTCTCTGGATTTTATCAAAATTCTGCGGGGGGGGCAGAATTTTTAAACATTCTAGAAATTTTATTTTTTTTGCTATTTTGCCTGATCCCTGGTTTTCCAGATCCTGGGCTCAAGTGGCCTCCCCAGGGGCCAGGGACCAGGCAAAATAGCAGGTTTTTGTAATAAAACAAATGCTATTTTGCCTGATCCCTGGTTTTCCAGATCCTGGGCCCAAGTGGCCTCCCCAGTGGCCAGGGACCAGGCAAAATAGCAGAATTTTTAAAACAATTTTTAAACAATTTATTTTTTTTGCTATTTTGCCTGATCCCTGGTTTTCCAGATCCTGGGCCCAAGTGGCCTCCCCAGGGGCCAGGGACCAGAATCTGGCCCCCTGGGGGGGCCCAGAAGCGTCCGCGCACTTCCCAAGACGGGCAGAGACGGCATCCGAGGAGCCCCGAGAAGGCCCGAGAGTTCGCAAAACAGTTAGCTTTGCTTCGCGCGGGCCAACACGACCCCAAGTGGGGTCCAGGAGGGTTCCCAGGGGGGGGTCCTGGGGGGGTCCCCGCATTATAAACTCATGGAAAGGATCGAGGATTTGTGTGCCGGAAGCTGGGATCTTACGGCACGCAATTTCGTCGGCGGCGCGCCCAAGGCGGCCCAGGAGGCCCCCGAGTCCGCCTCAAGACGGCCCAGGGAGGCCCCAAGAGGCACCCAAGAGGCCCCAAGAGTCCCCCCCCAAAACTCCGAAGGACACCAGGAAATTGCCCAAAGGCGTCCACAACCCTCCCCAAGAGTGCCCTAAGGCCCCCAAGAAGGTTTCCAACAGGCCACTAGGAGGACCCCCCCACAAGGCTTCCAAGTGGCCGCCGCCGCCGCCGCCGTCGTCGTCGTCGTCTTCGTCGTCGTCGTCGCCGTCGTCGTTGTCGTCGTCGTCGTCGTCGTCGTGCTCGTGGTCGTGGTCGTGGTCGTGGTCGTGGTCGTGGTCGTGGTGGTGGTCGTCGTCGTCGGAGGAGGAGGAGGACGAGGAGGAGTGTTTCACAAACCCCATACATGTCAGCCATGCAAGCATCAGCACCATTGCATGTCATCATTTTCTTGAGATTGCCCGAACGTAAGGAGGAGGTCTCTAAACGCCTGTCGGGGAGTTCTGCGAAATTCCCAGTGGGGCCACGAAACGTGTGAGTGACGGACAGGCTGGTCCCGACGCCGCACGCGAACAGCAGACGCTGGGCCTTGAGGTGTCCGAGACAGGCGAACGGCATCGGTAGCCATTTGGGTCGAAGCTCAATCGCGCCAGTGCGGCTCGAGTATCTTTGCCTACACAATGACACGTTGTAGGAGTTTCGCCCGTTTCTTCATATGCGTGGTCGTGTTGAGTGGGTTGCAAGAAGCATCCGCGACGGGGTCTGCGAAGGAAACCGCTTTGGACCTGTATGAGCGAGGGGAAAAACTGTTTTAAGTGTCCCACATTTGGCTTACCTGTTTTAAGACAGTGCAGTTATCAGTACGTATATATACATACATATTATATGTATTATAATACGTGTAAATGTAGTTGTATATGTATATGTATATATACAGTAATTCGATGTATGTGTTGTACATACTTTAGTTGAACATATATGCATAGACAATGCAATATTCGTGTGTGAGAACATGCATATATGTTGATCCACAGAGGATGGGGAGGAGGATGGGCCTGGTTTTCCAGATCCTGGGCCCAAGTGGCCTCCCCAGGGGCCAGGGACCAGGCAACATAGCAGAATGTTTAAAACAATTGTTTAAAACATATGTGTTTTGCTAGTTTGCCTGATCCCTGGTTTTTCCAGATCCTGGGCCCAAGTGGCTTCCCCAGGGGCCAGGGACCAGGCAAACTAGCAGAATGTGTTAAATTTTTGAAAAGCATTTGTTGCTATTTTGCCTGATCCCTGGTTTTCCAGATCCTGGGCCCAAGTGGCCTCCCCAGGGGCCAGGGACCAGAATCTGGCCCCCTGGGGGGGCCCAGGAGCGTCCGCGCACTTCCCAAGACGGGCAGAGACGGCATCCGAGGAGCCCCGAGAAGGCCCGAGAGTTCGCAAAACAGTTAGCTTGGCAATGCGCGGGCCAACGCGACCCCAAGAGGGCCCCAGGAGGGTTCCCAGGGGGGGGGTCCTGGGGGGGGGCCCGCGTTGTAATTCATGGAATGTATCGAGGATCTGTGTGCCGGAAGCTGAGATCTTACGGCACGCAATTTCGTCGGCGGCGCAGAGCGCCCAAGACGGCCCAGGACGCATCCAAGTCCGCCTCAAGACGACCCAGGGAGGCCCCAAGAGGCACCCAAGAGGCCCCAAGAGTCCCCCCCCCCAAACTCCGAAGGACACCAGGACATTGCCCAAAGGCGTCCACAACCCTCCCCAAGAGTGCCCTAAAAGGCCCCCGAGACGCCCCAAGAGGCTCCGATGAGGCCTCAAGAGGAGCCCAAGAGGCTGCAAGAGTCCCCGAAGAGCCCCGAGAGGCGCCAAGAGGCTTTCAAGATGCCCTGACGAGGCCCTGAAGACGCCACCAAGGGCCCCCAAGAAGGTTTCCAACAGGCCACTAGGAGGACCCCCCCACAAGGCTTCCAAGTGGCCGCCGCCGCCGCCGCCGTCGTCGTCGTCGTCTTCGTCATCGTCGTCGCCGTCGTCGTCGTCGTCGTCGTCGTGGTCGTGGTCATGCTCGTGGTCGTGGTCGTGGTGGTGGTCGTCGTCCTCGGAGGAGGAGGAGGAGGAGGAGGAGGACGAGGAGGAGTGTTTCACAAACCCCATACATGTCAGCCATGCAAGCATCAGCACCATTGCATGTCATCATTTTCTTGAGATTGCCCAAACGTAAGGAGGAGGTCTCTAAACGCCTGTCGGGGAGTTCTGCGACATTCCCAGTGGGGCCACGAAACGTGTGAGTGACGGACAGGCTGGTCCCGACGCCGCACGCGAACAGCAGACGCTGGGCCTTGAGGTGTCCGAGACAGGCGAACGGCATCGGTAGCCATTCGAGTCGAAGTTCAATCGCGCCAGTGCTGCTCGAGTCTCCTTGCCTACACAATGACACGTTGTAGGAGTTTCGCCCGTTCCTTCATATGCGTGGTCGTGTTGAGTGGGTTGCAAGAAGCATCCGCGACGGGGTCTGCGAAGGATACCGTGTTTGACCTGTATGAGCGAGGGGAAACTTGTTTTAAGTGTCCCACCATTGGTTTACCTGGTTTAAGACATGGCAGTTACCAGCACGTATATATACATACATATTATATTTATTATTATACATATTTCCGTATTCGTATATATATATGTGTATATATATATGTATTGTACATAGTTTAGTTGAACATGCTTGCATCTACAATGCGATATTTGTGAGTGAACATGCATATGTTTTGATCCACAGAGGATGGTGAGGAGGATGGGGAGGAGGAGGAGGAAGAGGAGGAGGAGGAGGAGGAGGAGGAGGAAAAGGAATATGAGGAAGTGGAGAACGGTTGCTGTTTTGGAGCTGCAAAGGGTTCCTGTGGGGCCTTTTTCGGGGTGCCTCCTGGGCCGTATGACGGAGTCTTGGGGGGGGGGGCCTGGGGTGTCTTGGGGGTCTTTCTGGGTGGGCCGTTCCTGACCGTTTGGGAGGGCCCTGGGGGCTTCGGAGGGCCCGTCCGAGCGGAGGGCGGGAGGGGAGGGGGGCGAGGGAGGGCGGCTGGGAAATGACGCTGGTCGTCGCGACGGGGGGAGGGGGAGGGAAGAGGAGGAGGAGGAGAGGAGGAGAGGACGAGGAGAGAGGGAGGAGGAGGGAGGAGGAGGAGGAGGAGGAGGGAGGAGGAGGAGGAGGAGGAAGAGGGCATGGTTTCGCCCCAGATCCGCCTGGTAGGGGGACATGCCCGACCTAACGCAGTGCCCGAGTCCCGCCCTGCGGCTGCGGGGGGCGAAGTGTTTTCCTGGCAGTGGCCAGCAGCTGTCGATCGAAGACGGAGCTGGTGCTGCCCAATCCGACATGTCGAGCGAACGTGTCCCCCTCCTCCCTCCCTCCTCTTCCCTCCCTCCTCCCTCCCCCCTCCCCCCTCCTCCCTCCTCCCTCGCTGGCGGCTTACCCCTCCGAGCCGCCAGCTAGTTTCTCTTACACAAAAGAAGTGTAACGGCCTGTAGCGGGCAAAATTCCTCCCTCCTCCCTCCTCCCTCCTCGACTGAAGCATTGACTGCAAAGCACTTCGTCAGGTGGCCATGCAGAAGCTCCTGCATCAGTACGGCATTTCGGGATTTGGCAAGGTCATCTATACCCACGACTTCCAGGAGGGCGTCATGGGCCTCGTGCAGAACGCAGGCGGCTGGTCCGCCACCTCGTCCACCCTCTGCGGCGTGGGGCTAACGCTCCAACGCGTCGCGAACCCCCCTTTCAGACCCGGGTAAGGATGCAGTGGGAGTGGTCACACATGCCGCGCGCCGTCCCGCTCGCTTCCACCCGCCCTCCCAACACATACGTAGCACCTACGAGCGTCAGCATATTCGGCGGTAGCCACTGGATGGACAGCCACTGGGAACCAGGATGTACGCCTGGTGCTCGAGGCTGGCGAGATGCACCACGAGTGCCAGGCGCGCAGCGCGCACCATGTGCGGCAGGCCCCGCAGGTGCCCAGGAGCGCCAGGCAAACAATGGTGCGCCAGATGCGCCGCGTGCTCTACGTGCGCAGGTGTGCCACGTGCCCTGGGCGCACCACGCGCACGACCCTGGCAGAGCATGCCAGGTGCGCCAACGCACGTGGCAGCACACGTCCAGGAAGCACGTTGCCTCCCCACGCGAACTTCGACACCACGTCGACCTCACCCAGATCACGCTCCGCCGCCTTGAGCGCCGCGAGAGCGAGAAGGGAAGACAGCAGGCTCTCGGCGCCCTCGCCCGGCAAGCTCTCCCCCATTCCGCGGCAAGACACGCCGCCGAAGCCCAAGCACAGCAAGCCCAGCCGGCGGCCGACGTCGCGAGAGGACCTCGCCGCCCAGGAGCGCGCCGCGGAAGAACGCGCCGCGCACCATACACAGTGGCGGCGTGGTGGCCGTCATGGTGTACGGTACGCGCCCCCGCAATCGTTTTGTATACTTTTCTTTGACAGGTAAGAGTGGGCCTGCGCACATCAGGCGATACGCGGACGCCCCGACCGCCAGTGCCACAGGGACTATACTGCACAGTGATCGCGGGAAGCGCGCATGGTCCGCGATGTTGCCGCAAAGAGTACTTTGCAATCTTTTCGACAGGGATGGTGGGAGGGAGGGGGTCGGCATGGTTTCGCGTCGACGGCTGTTCGAGTGGGGGAGGGGGTGTTTATTATAAGGGGGCAGAGGTCAACCCATTCCCGGATGGGGCAGAAGACGGGGTTTGGAAGGCAGAGTTCGCGAAGCCTCTCGGACCGGAGGGGTTGGTGGGCGTACCGCTTCAGCATGGGGGCCAGGCATGGGACGGCCGCCGGGAGCATACCTCCGATGTGATTCCCGAAGACGGGCCCGGAGGATCGCACGGCATCGCCGATGCATCGGCGACGCGGCGCGATCTGAAGCCCGTTCTGCTACCCAGGGGCAACGATCGGGGGGGAATAAGCACAGGGGGGGATGCATCGACCCCCAATCGCCCATTGATCGCCGATAGGGGCCCGATAGCCCCAGCCTGCCCAGGAAGGTGCGGATTCTCGCCGGTCTGTCGGCGGTGCATCGCCGATTCCAGCTCGATGCATCCCCCTCTGTGCCATTCCCCCCCGTATCGTTGCCCCTGACGCCGCGGCTGCCTCGGCGATTCGGCACGACCCCGGGGCCGCCCCCCCGAGGCGCGAGGAGGATCGCTGTTCGCGCCTCGCGGTCTGGACCGAAGACTTGTGCCTGCCCTCTGGGCGGCGGCGGCTCGAGGGCGCGAGAGATGCATTGCGTCGGAACTGTCCCTCTACAGGAGGAGTGTTCCAAAATAGTTTTGGGTCGACGTTTGCTTTTTTGAGCAGTGTTTGAGTATCTTTTGTTGGTATGTTGAATGTTCCTCCCGAATCCGCCCGTAGGAGGAGGAAAAGGTACCCATGTCGCTACTTGTCCCTCGCTTTCCTTCTGTTGGGCCTCCTCGGAGGCCCTCGTCGCCACTGCTGGAGTCGCCTCGAAGTTCTGGTCAGATCGTCGCCGAGTAAGGGGGGGGAGTGAGAAAGAGAAGGGCTTCTCAGAAGGTTCGGAAGTCTCCCGGCCTTCCGAGAAATGTTCCAAGCCTCCCCCGAAAAAGACATTTTTTTTCTCAGAAGGTGCGGGGGGTTCTGAGAAGTCCCGCCGCCTTCCGAGAAAGCCCTCCTTCTCATTTCCCCCCCTCGCTCGCCGCCGATCAGAGCGCACCCTCCTCCTCCTCCTCCTCCAGTTGGTGGTGTCTTCTGGGTTCCCCCGAGAGCGTCGAAGGCCTTGGGACCTTCCAGCCGAACTGCGTGATGGCCTCCTGGCCGCGCGAGTGGCGCAGCATCCACAAGGACGCGTCGGGGCGGCCTTCGGGGCGGCGGCCCTCGGGGCGTCGAGAAGGAGCAGCCGGCAGGATCCTCGAAACCGAGCCAGTCAGCATGGACATTAGCTTCGGAGGAGGAGGAGGAACATACAGGAGGAGGACAGAGGATGAGGGTAGAGGAGGAGGAAGAGGAGGAGGAGGGGCAGGAGCAGGAGGTAAGAAGGGGAATGAGGAGGAGCAGCAGCAGCAGGAGGAGGAGGAGGAGGAGCAGGAGCAGGAGGTAAGATGGGGGAGGAGGAGGAGGAGGAGGAGGAGGAGGAGGAGGAGGAAGAGGAGGAGGAGCAGGAGCAGGAGGAGGAGGAGGAGGTCGAGAGCATGGGGGGACGTGGAGAAGGTAAGAGGAGGAGTGTAAGACAGAGGCGGAGCCATAAGTCGAATATAAAACAAATGCCATACACACAGCGTTCGAAGGTGGCAACTCCCATCTCATTTCTCCCCCCTCATCGCCCCACCATCTTCGCAGTCCTCCCCCCTCGTCCTCCTCCATTCGAAGACGGGACACCAGCATGCACTTGCGCAGTTCCGCGCGGGCTCTGTTTTGGTGTCTGGGTTGGCCCCCCCCCCTGGTGGCGCCTCCGACGCCGTCCCTGGCGCGCTCCGCGCGCCAGAGAGGAGGGGGGTCCATTGCCCCGATCCGAGAAGTCCGTGCGGACCTACGACAGTGTATGTCTCTGCTGCGTTGTTCTCTTATGATCAGCAGCGGGGGGGGAAAGGGAAGAGAGGATCGGGTGGAGTCGGGCGAAAAAGGGGGCGTGATTGGGACAGGGGGCGGCAAGAGGAAGGGGAGGAGGGGGCGGAGGGGGGGAGGGAGGAGGAGGAGGGGGAGGAGGAGGGGGAGGAGAGGGGAGGGGGAGGGGGAGAGGAGGGGAGGGGGAGGAGGGAGGAGGGGAGGAGGAGGGAGGAGGAGGAGGAGAGGAGGAGGAGGAGGAGGAGGAGGGAGGAGGAGCGGGACGAGGAGGAGGAGGAGGAGGGAGGAGAGGAGGAGGAGGAGGATGAGACCTTTTGGGCCATCTTGGAGACCTCTTGGGGGCCTCTTGGGCTGTCTTGGGCCATCTTGGAGCCATCTTGGGCCGTCTCGGTGGCCTCCTGGCCCCTCGGACGCCTTCGGAAGCCGTCTTGAGGGCCTCTCTGGGCCGACCGGGGGCCCTCTTGGGGTGCTCCAGGGCAGTCTTGGAGGCCATCTTGCGCGTTTTGAAGGCCTCGTTGGCCATCTTGGGGCCCTCTTGGGACTGTCTTGGGGGCCGTTCGGGGGCCGTTCTGGGGCCCTCTTGGAGGCCTGTTGGGGCGACCTTTGGTGACTCGTGGGCCGTCTCGGGCCGTCGGAAGGCTGAACCGAAGCAAATGCCCAAATCCTTCAAATATGTTCGGGTAATATACGATTTTGGCCTCTCCGGGCCTTCCTGGAGGACTTCTTGGAGGCCTCTTGGGCCGTCTTGGAGACCTCTTGGGTTGCCTCTTGGGCTGCCTTGGGCCATCTTGGAGCCATCTTGGGCCGTCTCGGTGGCCTCCTGGCCCCTCGGACGCCGTCGGAAGCCGTCTTGAGGGCCTCTCTGAGCCGACTTGGGGCCCTCTTGGGGTGCTCCAGGGCAGTCTTGGAGGCCATCTTGCGCGTTTCGAAGGCCTCGTTGGCCGTCTTGGGGCCCTGTTGGGGCAGCCTTGGGAGCCTCTTGGGTCGTTCTGGGGCCATCTTGGAGGCCTCTTGGGGCGATGTTTGGGGGCTCTTGGGCCGTCTCGGGCCGTCGGAGGACCGAAGAGTAGCAAATTCCGAAAGTCCTAAATCAATGATTGGGCATCTTCGGGCCTTCTGGAGGACCTTTTGAGGGCTTCCTGGGCAGTCTTGGAGGCCTCTTAGGAGCCTCTAGGGCCGTCTTGGGCCATCTTGAGGCCATCTTAGGTCGTCTTGAGTGAAGATTGGCCCGTCTTGGAGGCATCTTGGGGCCATCTTAGCCGTCTTGGAGGCCATCTTGGCCGTCTTGGATGCATCTTGGAGGCCATCTTGGGCTGCCTTGGAGCCGTCTGGGTCAGGAAAAAACGTTTGCAACCACCTCCTGTGGGGCTCTATTCGGGCCTTTCGGGGACCCTGGCGGGCTGGGCCAGAGCCCCAGGGAGAGTTCTCTTGGAAGAAGAACCAAAGCCAAAAGCGAAAGGGTTCAGCACGCCGGGCACCCCGGTGACAAGCCAACAGGGGGCGGCGGATCTCATGGCCTTCGGCCCATCACGCCACGGTGCCTGGGTTGTGGGCACGAAGCCTATTGGGTGTTCGTTGGGATCTCGTGGGAGGCCTCTCGGGGACCCCTTGGAGGCAGCTCAGAGGCCTTTCTTAGGGGCCGGTTTTGGGGCCCCTTGGGCCCTCCTTTGGGCCTCGGGGGGGCCTCGTGGGGGCATCCTGGGGCCTGCTGGGCGCCTCTCGGGGCCTTCTGGGGGCCTTCTGGGGGCCTCTTGCCCTCCCTTCCCGTGGTGATGTCGGGGGGTGCCCGGCTGGCGGGCGGCGGGGCGCGCCCGATCTGCTTCTGTCCGCGCTCCGCGTGTTTTTTTTTTTCCGCGCGCCGGCCGGGCGCCCCCCCTCGCTGCGCCGTCGTGGCCGCCTGCGGTCTCGTTCTTGACGCCCGAAATGGGTACGGTGCCCAACAGCCTTTCCTGTTCATTTTGAACAGGAGACTCGCTGTCCACTCCGCCGCGGCCTGTGTCCATTCGAGACAGAAGGCCGCCTGCCCAACAGCGGCCGCTGTTAATTTGGGACAACATTTGTTGTTGGGAATTGTACCCATTGTGTCCGTACCCATTTCGGGCGTCCAAACTCTTGGCCCCGGGCCTCCCAGAGGGGGTCGGAGCAACCTCAGGAGGTCTTCAGCTGTTGCAAGCAGTGGCGAAGCGTCCTGGCTCACGTATAGGCCCA